ATAGTAATTAATATTGGATTATGCTAGTTTTTCTAGACTATATATTAATTAATTAAAAATTATAAGTACAATATGTCAATCAACTTACATTTTCATCAATTTAATTATATTTGTATCATTTGATAGTCGAACAGGGAACATGATATAATTAGTGTAATATTTCACCTTGGCTATTTGAAAATTGTATACTAGGTTTTCGCCCTGTACTCTACGTGCATTGTTACCATCCCTAATCACTGTGAAAAATCACAATATTTCATTTAAATCTTGAGTTTTCTATATTATTATTTATACCTTCATATTCAGATTATAATTCTCTACCAAATCGCTAAACCACATATCCATATTTATAACGGAAATAATCTGAGAATAATAATCTGAATATGAAGGTATAAATAATAATATAGAAAACTCAAGATTTAAATGAAATATTGTGATTTTTCACAGTGTTTGTCACTAATTCTACATTAATTGAATGATTACTCAGGTTTATAAAATTTTTCCATATACAATCGCATTCTCCGTTAAATCTATTGAATTGATATATCACATGGGCATAATTCATTATGAAAATTTTCCCAATATAAGTGGTCACTGCAACCGAACCCGAGGTCACAGGTCAATATAAATTAGATATTTAGACTTCTCGTCCAGTTATATAAGAATTGTTAATAATATCAGTTATATTTTTTAAAAACCGACTATACGACAAATATGTTGGTTACGGGGTATGCATCCTCCTTTATTAGCATATTTATTTTTTTTGTTGGACTTTATTATTATAAATGTTAAAAGTTAAATTCATTTGTTGGATAAATTTAATCAAACAATGAACCCCGATATTATGAAGTCATGAGGTACGACTTATAAATAATTTGAACCTACTTCTAACGTGTAACACATGTTGAGTAACACTAATAAAAATCATAGTAATAAAATCTGTATTGTGAAATATAAACGAGAACACATTTGATTTGTTATTTTTATAAATTGACTATATAATTGTGAATATTATTAAGTTTTCTATAACATTATTATTCTTGCTCTTATTTTTTTAATTATTTAAACGTAAATTAAACTAATTATTAGTTATAATTTACAAAATAATATTTGAATATTTAATCTAGAGAAGCCATTAATTCATATTTAATATATTACAGATGGCTATTGTTATTAATGCTGACAATTTAAAATGATTAAGCCACCTACACAGTTTATAAAATTTCTATCGTTTAGATAGATAATATTTGAACTCACATTTGACTTGGTCACTGGTACAGTTATGTAAACTCGATAATACATTTCCTTGGTAATTTGGAAAATTATAAATGAGATTCTCGTATTTCACCTTGCGTATATTATGACGAAAAAATATTTTTCCTTTATGATATAGTATTTATTAATAGTCTAAAAAGGTTCAAGATTAAATTATTAAAAATGATCTTACAATCCTAAATGTTTTGAGTGAATATTTATTTTAAATTATAATTTCAAAATCAAGTTTACAATAGACTTGAAATTTGAACAGGGTGTTGGTCATATAATAACAGCATTGTCATTGCCATTAAGCAGCCGAGCCGTTGTTGGTTATGGGTGTACTGGCCGTGAGTTCCCCGTTGACCAAGGTACATTTGGACGCACATTTGCCCACGATCTCAAACTGCGCGTACAATCCCTTTAGGCCCTTAAGGCCGGTACTACTGCCGCACCCGCTCTGGTCGGTGGCCATCCATAAGCCGGTGTTCCAAATGGTGTCGCCATCGCAGGGACCGCCAGATAGCACTCCGCACTCCATGTACTCAAAGTTGCCTTTCATTTGAAATAATCAGTGAATTAAACATTCAAACAATTACTCATATAATGATGATATGATATAAATGATAATAATACGAGGATTTCTATTGTTATCAATGAATGGTAACATTGTTTTCATTTCGTGTAAAAGTCTATAATTTATACAATAATTGGTATATTATATAAGAATGATGATGATTTTGCCTTGGATAAACAAATACTGATTGTTATATTGAATGAAAAATACAAACCGTTATTAGTGCTAAAAATTTCCTGATGTTGTGGCGACCATAAGGGCACCGATAGGTCACCCTTATAGGCATCGAAGGTAACATTGCTCGTAAACCCCGCGTACGCATAGCACGCAAATGGTTTGCTAAGGGTTTTATTGATCGCGATTTCGGTTATATATGATCCCGATTCACAGCTATAGTTCTCAACATCGAGGAAGTTCTCGAGTACCAGTGCTGACGAGACTACCAGACAAACCATATTATGTATTATTATTACCATTATAGACTATCATCTATAGTCAATATGATCATATATCTCAATGCTTACATGTTGATGTCAGAATAGTTGGAGCGTTATGTGGTAATAAGTCTGATATAAATCAAATATATTATGTTAATATTTTAATATTATTCAATTAATGCACTGTATAATATACTTTTGCAATAATCCTGGCCATTTCCAGTTGCTTTTCCAGTGTTATTGGAGATATTAACGGCACTTTTAACGGGTCTTTTCCAATGGGACTGCGAACTCAAACCAATGCAAACGCTCAACAGAACAATTAAAATGGTATTCATTTTTGTTGTTTCAATTACTTGTGAATAGACTTATGTTGTCATAATTATTAGACAATTTTCATCAGTATATATAGTATTCATAAAACACTTGCGAAAATGGATACAAAGATTAGTCATGTAAAACGAACATTCAATAATTAATTGTTTGAAAATACTTAAGTTCTAATGTACTCAAGTATTTTCTAACAATAAATTATACAAATAAATATTAAATTGTCTGATATATTACCTGGTTTAAGTGATTAAATATAATATACCGATGAGACAAATGGCGTTTAATAGTGATTAATATTGGATTATGCTAGTTTTTCTAGACTATATATATTAAATAATTAAAAATTATAAGTACAATATGTCAATCAACTTACATTTTCATCAATTTAATTATATTTGTATCATTTGATAGTCGAACAGGGAACATGATATAATTAGTGTAATATTTCAACTTGGCTATTTGAAAATTGTATACTGGGTTTTCGCCCTGTACTCTACGTGCATTGTTGCCATCCCTAATAAACGCCATTTGTCTCATCGGTATATTATATTTAATCACTTAAACCAGGTAATATATCAGACAATTTAAATTTATTTGTATAATTTATTGTTAGGTAATACTAGAGTACATTAGAACTTAAGTATTTTCAAACAATTAATTATTGAATGTTTGTTTTACATGTTTGATCTTTGTATCCATTTTCGCAAGTGTTTTATGAATACTATATATACTGATGAAAATTGTCTAATAATTATGACAACATAAGTCTATTCACAAGTAATTGAAACAACAAAAATGAATACCATTTTAATTTAAACGCCATTTGTCTCATCGGTATATTATATTTAATCACTTAAACCAGGAAATATATCAGACAATTTAATATTTATTTGTATAATTTATTGTTAGAAAATACTAGAGTACATTAGAACCTAGTTCATATAATGTGAACTTAAGTATTTTCAAACAATTAATTATTGAATGTTTGTGTTACATGATTAATCTTTGTATCCATTTTCGCAAGTGTTTTCTGAATACTATATATACTGTTGAAAATTGTCTAATAATTATGACAACATTTGTGAGAATTGAAAGTCTATTCACAAGTAATTGAAACACAAAAATGAATACCATTTTAATTGTTCTGTTGAGTGTTTGCATTGGTTTGAGTTCGCAGTCCCTTTGGAAAAGTCCCATTAAAAGTGCCGTTAAAAGTGCCGTTAATATCTCCAATAACACTGGAAAAGCAGCTGGAAATGGCCAGGATTATTGCAAAAGTATATTATACAGTGCATTAATTTAATAATATTAAAATATTAACATAATATATTTTATTTATATCAGACATATTACCACATAACGCTCCAACTATTCTGACATCAACATGTAAGCATTGAGATATATCCACATATTGACTATAAATGATAGTCTATAATCGTAATAATAATACATAATATCGTTTGTCTGGTAGTCTCGTCAGCCCTGGTACTCGAGAACTTCCTCGATGTTGAGAACTATAACTGTGAATCGGGATCATATATAACCCAAATCGCGATCAATAAAACCCTTAGCAAACCATTTGCGTGCTATGCGTACGCGGGGTTTACGAGCAATATTACCTTCGATGCCTATAAGGGTGACCTATCGGTGCCCTTATGGTCGCCACAACATCAGGAAATCTTTAGCACTAATAATGGTTTGTATTTTTCATTCAATATAACAATCAGTATTTGTTTATCTAAGTACTAAGGCAAAATCATCATCATTCTTATATAATATACCAATTATTGTATAAATTATAGACTTTTACACGAAATGAAAACAATGTTACCATTCATTCATAACAATAGAAATGCTCGTATTGTTATCATTTATATCATATCATCATTATATGAGTAATTGTTTTAATGTTTAATTCACTGATTATTTCAAATTAAAGGCAACTTTGAGTACATGGAGTGCGGAGTGCTATCTGGCGGTCCCTGCGATGGCGACACCATTTGGAACACCGGCTTATGGATGGCCACTGACCAGAGCGGGTGCGGCAGTAGTACCGGCCTTATAAAGGCAACTTTGAGTACATGGAGTGCGGAGTGCTATCTGGCGGTCCCTGCGATGGCGACACCATTTGGAACACCGGCTTATGGATGGCCACCGACCAGAGCGGGTGCGGCAGTAGTACCGGCCTTAAGGGCCTAAAGGGATTGTACGCGCAGTTTGAAATCATAGGCAAATGTGCGTCCAAATGTACCTTGGTCAACGGGGAACTTACGGCCAGTACACCCATAACCAACAACGGCTCGGCTGCTTAATGGCAATGACAATGCTGTTATTATATGACCAACACCCTGTTCAAATTTCAAGTCTATTGTAAACTTGATTTTGAAATTATAATTCAAAATAAATATTCATTCAAAGCATTTAGGATTGTAAGATCATTTTTAATAGTTTAATCTTGAACCTTTTTAGACTATTAATGAATACTATATCATAACGGAAAAAACACTTTTTCGTGATAATATCGCAAGGTGAAATACGAGAACCTCATTTATCATTTTCAAATTGCCAACGAAATGTATTATCGAGTTTACATAACTGTACCAGTGACCAAGTCAAATGTCAGTGAAAATATTATCTATCTAAACGATAGAAATTTTATAAACTGTGTAGGTGGCTTAATAATTTTAAATTGTTAGCATTAATAATAATAGCCATCTGTAATATATTAAATATGAATTAATGGCTTCTCTATATTAAATATTCAAATATTATTTTGTAAATTATAACTAATAATTAGTTTAATTTACGTTTAAATAATTAAAAAATAAGAGCAAGAATAATAATGTTATAGAAAACTTAATAATATTCACAATTATAGTCAATTTATAAAAATAACAAATAAAATGTGTTTTCGTTTATATTTCACAATACAGATTTTATTACTATGATTTTTATTAGTGTTACTCAACATGTGTTACACGTTAGAAGTGGGTTACTATTATTTATAAGTCGTACCTCATGATTTAATAATACCGGGGTTCATAGTTTGATTAAATTTATTCAACAAATGAATTTAACTTTTAACATTTATAATAATAAAGTCCAATAAAAAAAATAAATATGCTAATAAACTTTATAATATTCTTTTGAATGAATAAATAATTGAAACATTTAACAAACTGCTTAACCAAAGCAAATTAACCTATCTCTTTTTTAGATACATAGCGATAATAAGGAACAGGAGTCTATGGAAAGGGAATTGGATGTCATACCTAAATTTGAAGCGTATCCAGGTATGGAGATTTATAATCAGCCCACATATAATGATAAAATAACACCGATCATTTAATTAGGGATGTAAAGTATATTTTTAGATTAGTTTTAATTTTTATAGTTTAGGAATAAACGATTTTATACGAAATTAGTTTCCAAGTCAATAGATATCATTTTAAAAGTATTTATTTAATTTTATCATAAAATACTAGTGTTTTGAATAGTTAATAAGTTTGCTAATATTATAAAACACTATTTTGACGATTTAAAAAATTTTGGACGTCTCAGATCTAAACGATAGAAATTTTATAAACTGTGTAGGTGGCTTAATAATTTTAAATTGTTAGCATTAATAATAATAGCCATCTGTAATATATTAAATATGAATTAATGGCTTCTCTAGATTAAATATTCAAATATTATTTTGTAAATTATAACTAATAATTAGTTTAATTTACGTATAAATAATTAAAAAAATAAGAGCAAGAATAATAATGTTATAGAAAACTTAATAATATTCACAATTATAGTCAATTTATAAAAATAACAAATAAAATGTGTTCTCGTTTATATTTCACAATACAGATTTTATTACTATGATTTTTATTAGTGTTACTCAACATGTGTTACACGTTAGAAGTGGGTTAAAATTATTTATAAGTCGTACCTCATGACTTAATAATACCGGGGTTCATAGTTTGATTAAATTTATTCAACAAATGAATTTAACTTTTAACATTTATAATAATAAAGTCCAACAAAAAAAAATATGCTAATAAACTTGATAATATTCTTTTGAATGAATAAATAATTGAAAATATAATTAAACAAAAGCTTATTTATAAATAAATACCGTACGTATGAAACATTGCCCTGGACTATACTATATTTTTAATAAAATCTCATATTACATATAAAATTTAATTATGTATTTAAACAATTAATGCAAGTTTAAAATAATCACAATTTTATGCTTGTATAAAATGTCATTTTATAATAATAACTCAACCATAACAATTGCATCTAAAACCACCCATGTCACAATAACCACCTCGGAACTATTATAAAAAGCATTACACTTAATTAAAATAATTATACAAAAGTAAAAGTAAAAATAAATTACCTTGTTATCCTTGCAATGTCGGTCGCACTCGTATCTATCGCTACCAAAGGGACCCTTACATCCAAACCCTCGCTTAGCCCTTGCAATACCTGTCTGTCCACTGATGGGCACCGTATGGGCCAGTAGTGCCAATACGACTAGTAATACGGCAATTGTGTTCACTTTATTGGTAAACATTTTGAATTGTATTTAAAATATTCAATACTCATGGCTAACAAAATGAGTCGTATTTATACCTTGATACTAAAATCCTGTTTACCATAAATGTGATAAATAATAAACATTTTGTACCAAAAATATT